TGGGAAAGAGTTTAGTGCCAGGGGTATTTTTGGAAACCTGCCTTCTTATTGTTTAATTCCCCATTCGTTCACTTATGTCATGTTCTTATGTTTCATTCAACTTGGTGCACAATAACAACTCCCCTGTTATCTTTTTGCCTTTGTTCAGATCCGTTTTTTGTCCCTCTTTTGTTTGACTTTCTTGTGCACAAAGGCAAGAGTTGAACTTGCAAGTCTACAAATATAACAAAAATCATCAAGTAACAGTAGCTGAGTAGCATGATTAAAATATTAAGTTTGTGTCTCAATGGAGCAGGTCCAATTGTCGTTCTTCTCCATTTCGTCAAAAACTTTGGATTTTTGGTCAAATGCATTTAGACAGCAAATGGAGGTTCGGGATTTTGGGTAATTGCGACAATGAAAGGAAACCAAGAATTTTACATGGGATTTTAGAGAATCGTTGTTCTTGTTGGAAAAGAACAAAGTTTGTGGGATTTTGGTTCCCAATTTTGAAACATAAGTTCACTAAGGCATTTAATCTAACACTTGGTGTACACACCATAGAAATCCCATTCATTCGGCGATCAATTTCCAGCCGATCTCTAATTCGGTGTTCCAAACTCCAAATTGACGATCCTAATCGTGAATTGGAACAATTCTATTTGGTAAAAACACGTTCCTGTTGCTATGACAAAACTTACAGTGTCTTTGAAACACCCAATGAAGGAACCAAAGGCGAAATGAGGGCAAGTAATTTGTAAGAGACCATAATCATACCATTGGTGAATCTGAAACACCAAAATCTGAATCGAAAGCACGAGACCTAGAAACCCCCAAAACCTGCATCAAATTGAATCGAATCACAGTCAACATCTGAATCATTCGATTCTTAAATCCCAAAACCCTCCATCTGAAATAGAAATTGAAACCCGCTTTCATAATGAGATAGAAAAAGATCAGGGAATCATGGAGTGAGAAAAAGATCTTTTGTCACACCCCCAAACCGGAACGGCGGAAACGTTCGGGGGTGGAGGACTTCATGTACAGTATCACAACAATTGCATCATAGTAATCAAAGTAAACACAACCATTACATTGAATATATAAGGTATTTACATCTGTTTGATACATAGTTTGTATACAACAAAAGTATAACAAAAGTATAAAAGACGCGACTCTAAAACCTCTGTCTTCTCAAAAACCTGCGGGTGTACCTGTCAACCGGTTCCCTGAGAATACAAACGGTTTTGAAAGAGTATCAACATTTAAGCTGGTGAGTTCATAAGTATATTTTTGTAATGAAAACCTGTCTGTGAATCTGTAAAATGTTTGCATGTTCTCAAGAAAATCCAATATTTTCTTTAGTATTGAAAAGTAGTCTTAAACCCTAAGACTAAAATGTACGTTCATTACTATATCCTGTATTAGTATATGAAAATGTTAGTTTGTATGCTTGGTTACCACCAGTTGAATTGTATAGTCTGTTTTGTACGAAAACCTTTGTATTGAAAACCTGGCTATCACCAGTAATGTATAGTGTGTTATGTATGAAAACCCTTGTATGAAAACCCTGGCTATCACCAGTAATGTATAGTGTGTTCTGTATGAAAACTCTTGTATAAAAACCCTGGCTGCCACCAATATGTATAGTAGTTTTATTACTTAAAATAAAACCATGTATTTGTATTCCCTGGAATCCTCCAGTTGTAGTGTATGATAGTTCTATTAATGAAAATAAAACTATTTGAAGAATTGAAATCCCGTAAACAAATGGTTAGTTTATACTGTTGTGAGTTTGATATAACCATGCTTGATATGACATAGTGACCTCTACGACGTTCTTCAGGTGTCGGATGTTATGACATTCGTCACCCCATGCATGCCTGCCTAACTGTAGCTAGCAGTTTAGGTGTGAGATTGTCAATCCCGAATAGATCTATTCAGAAATCTCACGCTCTCCCTCCATGAGACTTTGGTTATACTGTGGTAGGATTTAGTTTCGCACCCTGAAGGGTACAATTGAAGTAGTGCCTCACAACCCGGTATTAACTAGTTTACATGTAGTGTTATTGTGTTCTCTTGTATTTGAAACTGCATGTATACTTGTAGAGTAAAAATAATTATACTTAGATAATTATTTAGTATTGTACTCTTGTTCTCAGAAAATAGTATTGTATGCCATAAACTATATCTATCATAGTTTATATGTTTGTTAATGTATAAGCTCTGGAGTTGATAAAATCGTGTGTTGAATCCCAAACTATACCTATTATAGTTTGCATGCATGTTATGTATTCGGTTTATGTATTGTAATGAAAACTTTGCAATTATGGTTGTATGTTGAAAACTTCCGTTATGCTCAGCATGTTACAAAAGGGATAAAATATCTAAATATTTTATAAAATGTAGTGATCTCTTGGTTGTATCAATTGCATAAGTTTTAATCCTGTTGAAATCATTTATATAAGAACACAAATTTCTTTGTGTTTTGCTTGTATTCCCCCTAAAAACGTTAAAAACAGTAAAAGTGTAGGGGTATGAACTCACAGTTGATTATGTGCACGTGCTCGACAGCAAAACCGGATAGATGACCCTCGAGTTGGAGTAAGCGGAAATTAACGGTATCCTAATGATAATTAAGCACATAATTGTATTTAAATTAGCGAATCCATTAATTAAAGTGTTCGAAAACACTTGCTTTTGGGTTAGGATTGTTACCGAGACTTGTTTGAAGTGGAAAAAGAGGGTTTTCAGCCAAGGTTCACGGCTCAAGGCTGTTTGCGGCAGTGAACTGGGTTTACGACCGTGAACTAGTTTGCGGTTGTAAACGGGTTTGCGGCTGTGAACTCGTTTGCGGCTGTAAACGGGTTTGTAGCCTTTGAAGATATGAAGGCTGTTCTTGGTGTTCTTGGTGAAAATATGAAAATTTGAAGGTTCGTTCTTGAGGATATGAATGTTCTTGGGAGCAACTTGAGAGAGTTTTTGGGTGAAAAAGATGAGAAATGAAGAATCTCTCCGGGAAAAACCTTTATACCGGTTGGGTTTACGGCCGGAAATGGGTTCTCGGCGGTAAACGGGTTTACGACCCAGGGGTTTACGGCCAAGGGGGTTTACGGCCCAGGGGTTTGCGGCCGTAAACGCCTAGCTGAACAAGTTTTTCTGGTTTTTCGAGGGAAATCTTGATTTTTCGAGCGTTTTTGGTTCCGAAAACTTATATATAATCTCTAATTATATATTTTAGATTATTTTCTAACCCACAAAAACTTAACGGAATAAATAAAATTCAAAATTTTATTTAACGGAAATTGACTTTTGTTGACTATAAAGTATCGGGTTGTCACATCTTTGATTGTTGCTAGGATTCAGAAGAAAATTAAATATGGAGAAAATTTCTTGAAGATGATTGAATTGATGAACCTGGATTGTGAAGTCGAGAAATAAAACTAAAAACTTGTTTGTGGAATTAGCGAGGATCCGATGAAAGGAAATGAAATCCCTTATCAAAAAAAAACGTCGTAGTTTTAAATTTTAGGTACATAAATCCATATACCCTTAAAGGGTGTATATATATATATATATATATATATATAGATATATATATATATATATATATATATATATATATATATATATATATATATATATATATATATATATATATATATATATATATAAAAGTCAAAATGTGGGTTTGCCAACTAATAAGTCCTTTTTCCCATTTACCCAAATTCCGTAGACTTCTACGTATGATATCACATTCTAACAAGTTACAAATCACTATTATATCATACTCACGTACACTTTCTATGTTTCTTCATTGAAATCTGTATTATTTGTGAAATCTGTATTATTTGGCCTTTTTTCAAATAATTTAACATTTTTAAAATAACTTATTATTCTTGTATTCTGATAGCATCGATCTTTATATATTAATCATTTAATTGTTAGAGGTGCATGTATCTCAATAAGTGAAAATAATGCTGATTTATACATGAAATAAAAATGCTAATGTGGAAAAATAAATCGATAAGATGATGGAATGAGATATTACGACGGAACAAAAACAAACTTATTAGGTATTAAAAACATAGCTTTTGCAATAATTTAAATGGTATTGATTTTAAATTTCATATTTATGTATTTGGATATTAACCCTTTAAACACATAAAGTTAGAGCATCTATAATAATGACGAATTCAATAAGAGAGTTGAATGAAGTGACAAATTTATTTGTCATTCAATGGATTAAAATCTATATAGTGAGATGTCATATTGGCATTCAATGGATTTGGAGTTCAATAATCATTGAATTTTTCAATGAAAAAATGAAGGTTTTTAATTCTCAAATATATATATATATATATATATATATATATATATATATATATATATATATATATATATATATATATATATATATATATTATATATGTTATACATTAGTTTTTATAATATTCTATTGAATTTTATAGAGTTCAATACATTATGAAAAAAAAATTAATAAAGTCGTATGAAATATAAAAAAAGAGAAATTAAATTGCTTCCTACTTTTTATGTCTACAAATGTTTCTACCCAATAAAATTATGACAAGTGTCATCATTCAATATTTTTTTAACTAACTCATTAATATTATATTATGAATATATCAAATAAAATTAAATTGAATGATAATTTGTTATAATTTTAATAGGTATGAATAATTGTAAGCATAAAACATAGGAGGTAATTTAATTTCTCATAAAAAAAATATATAACTATCCATTGAACTTTTTGAAATAATTGAACTCTATGAAATTAAATGCACGGTGGAAATTTTATAACGTAAGTCAATAAACACATGATAAAAAACTGCGTTTGTGAAAGGAAAGAACTACATTTGAATATGAACAAGATTATAAAGTCTACTCATAAAGGTGTTGCAAGCCTCTATCTCAATGTTGGTATGCAGTAAAACAAAAGAATAATAATTAATAGGAATTCAAAAGGCAATAAAACAAGTGGTTGCTTATTTGAAAATTTCTTTTTGTGGAACCCTTCTATTTCTCTCTCTATATCTCTCCTTCATATAAAACCACCTTAGCCATTCTTCATTTCATCCAAACTTTTTCTCTCTTCTCTTCTCCTTCACCCCCATTTTACTTGTTCCTGGAAGAACAAGAAACCATGACTCTCAAGAAAACAGCAATATCATTCTTGCCAAATTGTTTCAAGATTCAAGCATCAATTCGTCCATTGAATAAACCCAAAAAGAAATCTGCTATTGCATCTCATAACTCTTTCCCCAGGATCTCTTTTACGGATTTAAGCAGCTCTACGATCTCTGAGGATATATCAAATTCACTCGCTGGTTCTAATCTCCATGTGTTCACCCTAGCGGAGCTTAAGCTAATCACACAGTCGTTTTCTTCATCGAATTTCTTGGGTGAAGGTGGGTTCGGACCAGTTCATAAAGGGTTCATTGATGATAAACTTCGACATGGTTTGAAGGCTCAGCCTGTGGCTGTTAAGCTCCTTGACTTGGAAGGGTTACAAGGCCATAGAGAATGGCTGGTATGATCCTAGTTTCTTGAGTATACCATATATTTTATAGAAAAATATATGTTTTAAACATTAGCAATAGAAACCCATTAACATATTGAAATGATTTTTCTAACATTTTACCCGTTTGCAACAGACGGAAGTGACATTTCTTGGAGAATTGAGACACCCGCATTTGGTGAAGTTGATAGGATTCTGCTGCGAAGATGAACACAGGCTACTTGTCTACGAGTACATGCCACGAGGCAGTTTAGAGAATCAACTCTTTCGAAGTAAGTTCATTAATTTTTGTAAATTAAGTATTATCATCGTTAATTATTAGCCATCAAATTAGTGCATGATGAGGAAATTTTGCTTTATAGTATTTAAATACACGTTAATTCAGTTCTTGGTGTTGAAATATTCGTGCATATCATCGTTTTCTGTTATATATTTTAATATGTGATCTCAGTTCTGACTTGTTAAAGTAACGTTTTAGTGGGTAACTCGATATTATTATATAGCATGGTGACAAAGGAACCTCTTGTATATGCATATAAAATGTAATCAAATATCAAATGGAATTATAAAAAAATCTTGCAAGTTATTTGTTTATGATTAATAATGTTCGTTTTTCTATGGATTGTTGACTAGTATTAGGGCAAGGAATTGTTCTTTGTCTTCCAAACTTTTGACTTTTTGGAAGTTTACAGGACAGTTTACCTGCTCCGTGACTTGCATATGTTAACTCTTAAAGTCAAACATTGTTTTTGCAAAGCAACCTCACATTATTAATGTTAAATAATATAGATATGAACTTCTAGAAGTCTTTTATTTTAGTATTTGAACTTTTGTTATCCCAAAACAAAATGTCACACGTTTATCTAATAAAATCTGGTATGAATTTTCAGGGTATTCAGTGTCACTCTCTTGGTCGATAAGAATGAAAATCGCATTAGGCGCCGCGAAAGGGCTTGCGTTTCTTCACGAAGCGAAAAAGCCTGTTATATATCGTGATTTCAAAGCATCAAATATATTATTAGATTCTGTAAGTTTTTTCTAATCAATAGTTGATAGTAATTCTTTATCAAAATAACGTAATTTCTAATAGGTTTTATGTAACTTTTTATTTATAGGATTATACGGCTAAACTTTCGGACTTTGGACTTGCAAAAGATGGCCCGGAGGGAGACGAAACACACGTTTCTACTCGAGTTATGGGTACACACGGCTATGCTGCCCCCGAATACCTCATGACAGGTAATATACGTATATTTATGCATTAAGTTAACTTGTATTTTTATTACACAACCTTTATTTTTGTTACGATTTTATTAAATATGGAATATGTTTTTTTTTCACTAGGTCATTTAACTGCAGCGAGTGATGTTTATAGCTTTGGAGTTGTACTGTTGGAGCTTCTGACAGGTCGGAAATCAATGGACAAGAGTCGTCCAAACCGTGAGCAAAACCTAGCCGATTGGGCTAGGCCTCAACTCAAGTGTCATCGGAAACTCAACCGAATAATAGACCCGAGACTCGAAGGGCAATACTCGGAATTCGGATTAGAAAAGGCAGCGGAATTGGCTTATCAATGTCTTAGCCATAGGCCTAAAGCAAGGCCAAATATGAGCACGATTGTTAAAACTCTCGAGCCATTAGTGGACTTCAACGATGTACAAATTGGACCCTTTGTGTACACTGCTCCAAAAGAAGAGAAAAAGGAAAGTAAAAAAGATGTGAATGGACATCATCATAGCCATAATTATGAAAGAAACAGGACGAAATCGCCCTTGTCTCCGCATGTAGTTCATTCGGACCCAAATATACATCATCGGAGTGTCGGGTTGTGGCCGAGTTCTCCAATGCAACAACAAAGATTAAAAAGAGGATAGATGATGGATTTGGAAATAGGACAAATTATTTTAGCTTATTTAAGTAGCTCATGGCTCCCATAGTATAATTTCAAGACCTTGAATATGAATTTGAATCGAGCATATGAATAATGTTCAAAAATCATGGGACATACATCAAAAAGCGGATGACGTCAAAAGCTACGTTTTTGGTGGGTATAGGAGATACGTAATTGTGTAGATTAGAAATTTTCTTGATTGTGTGGGTTGAATCATCAAATTTCTTTTGTTTTTTTATTTATTTTTTCTAAATATATTAATAGAATTGTATATGGAAGGTAAACTTCCTAAAGGAAATTTCTTTACGTATTCGCAAAAGCAATTAAATTATAATTTACTATTACTTAGTCGTGTCATGCTAATTTGAGTATCGGTCTTAGTTATGTTGGATATTTTTGAAGGAACTCGCATCCACATGATGGTATTGTCGCATCCACATGATGGTATTGTCGATAATAGAAAAAAACATATAATGTTAATATTACGTTAGTTTATATCTTTTGTTTGAAACATACGTAACTATAATTGTAATTGTACCTAAGTCCTATAAGATTCGTGTAAGGGGAGGTGAGAAGTCAGAAGCCATAAATACTTCTGTGGATGAGCTCCGACACAATGCAAATAATCTCCTGCAAAAGACGTGTTTTTTTAAATATATTGATCTCAATTGTTTATATTTTATAACGGGTACATATTAAAATATATGTTTATAAGTATGTACATTAATGAATAATCACCCGTGTGCACAGCTCGTTCGAACGATGTGTTTAGTTATAGGGAAAATGACTTATTAAGGTAACTAACTATTTCAGTTGTCCATGTATAGGTAATGTTTCTTTTTTTTTGTACACATTAAGGTAACTAACTTGTTTTATTTGTTTACATTTAGGTAATATGACCGGCTATCACCTGTTTTTGCTTATGTGGCATCCACCTGGCATATGACTTGAATACGTTGCACCTACGTGGCATGGTGCATATATGAGAAAAAGACTTATTAAGGTAACTAACTATTTCAGTTGTCCATATATATGTAATGTTCTTTTTTTTTGTACACATTAAGGTAACTAACTTGTTTTGTTTGTTCACATTTAGGTAATATGACTGGCTATCACTTGTTTTTGCTTATGTGGCATCCACCTGACATATGACTTGAATACGTTGCACCTACGTGGCATCCACCTGGCATATGACTTGTTTTGTTTCTTCTTCCTCGTCTTATTCTTCAAAACGACAAGATGAATTTCAAGCTGATCATCCATGTGATTGCGGCTTACCATCTCGTGTGAAGATTTCAAGAACTCCTGACAACCCTGGAAGAAAATTTAGAGTTTGTCAAAACTCGATGGTAAATCAATATTGTTGAATATGTTGCAGGAGTTCTTGAAATCTTCACACGAGATGGTAAGTCGCAATCATATGGATGATCAGCTTGAAATTCATCTTGTCGTTTTGAAGAATAAGATGAGGAAGAAGAAGCCATCGTCGATCGATCTAGGGTTTAGAATTAGGGGTGGAATCGTATGACACAGTTATAGTGTAATCGAATGAAGACAATATATGCACCATGCCACGTAGGTGCAACGTATTCAAGTTATATGTCAGGTGGATGCCACATAAACAAAAACAGGTGATAGTCGGTCATATTACCTAAATGTGAACAAACAAAACAAGTTAGTTACCTTAATGTGTACAAAAAAAAAACATTACCTATATATAGACAACTGAAATAGTTAGTTACCTTAATAAGTCATTTTCTCTTAGTTATATTTCAGAGCATTCATAATTCAAGTTCAATAAAGAAGAAAAAGAGTGAAATGACATCAAATTTGATAGGGGTTTAATGCATTATGGATATTTTTTAGTGTGAGATAATTGAAATGTTAAAGGTGGCGCCATTGTATCCCCATTTAAATGTTGATTGTTGTTTAGATAGGTTTTATATTATTTTTATTAATTAGAAATATTTAATATTATGTTGATTTGATAATCCATTAAACTTCAAAGATTTCTAGAGGTTCAAAGATTTATATATTCTAGAGGTTCAATGATTAAGTTGTAGAAAAGTGAAATGTTAATATATCAACAACACATTAAACTTTAAAGAATTTAATAATTATAGATGCCATTTATTCCACAATCAGGATAATAGCTTCCTTAACCGTTAATAGAAAAATTACTATTCAAACGTGTTGTAAAATAAAAAAAAAAATTCAAAAGTTTTGAACAACATTAAATTTTTATAGGATGCATGACGTTTGATTATTTTCTACGGTCTCCATCTATCCATTGATATAATTTTCCTACATTCGGATAAAATCGAAAAGAAAGATTGGGTCCCTGCGAAAGAAAATGTTAAATATCTTTTTCTTTTTCTTTTAGAAAAATAAAAAAACGATATTAGGTTAGACTTTGGATGAGTTTTTGAACCTTTTCATTGGTCAATTTGTTGACATGGGCAATATGACTTTGTCATTATGTACTTTAACCAAGTACATAATTTTTTACCATAAAATTTGGGAAAATGACACAAATGCCCTATGAATTTTTTCGGGTTGATCTTTTTAGTCACTTAAGTTTTTTCGTGGCTTTATGAGGGAACCAAGTTGTGGCAACCTGTACATTTAGTCCCCTTTACTTGTTTTAGCCGGTTTAGGAAACAAATAGACAAAACTTAGGGTCCACCTCTCTCTCTCTCTCACTATATATATATATATATATATATATATATATATATATATATATATAACCTGCATTCTCATCATTAACACCACCACTACATCATCACCCCTACTTTATAACTAATTAACAAAAAAATAAATCATGTTGTAGGCCATTCTAGCGGGGTGTTCAGTTGGTAGATTGACTTCGATATTGCAGTGCGATAATTTCCGATCACAATTACCGGCGACGACTAAAGTGAAATGCCTTTTCGATGCCGGATTTTTCATCAATGCGTAAGCTTCCGCTTCCATTTCCAATGTTTACTTCACGTTTCCCCTTCGTTTTTGATGTATTGATTTCACGTTTTTGATTCATCAACAGGAAGACGATTATAGGGCAAAGTCACATCGAAGGCTTCTACGCTCACGTCGTTAGAACACATGTACGTTCAAAATTGAAATCCCCTTTTTTCCACTCTCAATTTCAGGCACAAAAATAGCATCAAAATTTTTGATTATTGAATTTGATTTGTTTGTTTAGGGATCTGCTAAAGTTTTGTCTCCAGCTTGCCTTGCGAAAATGAGTCCTGGTTTGGTAAGACTTAGAAAGATGTTTTGATATAACTCCTTTGAATTTTTGCTCCGGCGGACTCCTACTGGTTCGTTTTGGCTTCTGCTCGACGGAGTGATTAGTTGGAGATGAGAGGGAGATCAGGAAAGATGTTTCCGGCAACAACAGTGGTAATGGGTGGGTGTGGGTTGCGTTGGCAGCCCAAGAGAACACGATGGTGGGTGCTGGCAGCGACTCTTGGTGGTTCCCGGTGGCAGTGGGTGGTCGAGGGTGACAATCCTTGACCACTCTTGTTCCCCCTTCGTTCCTTGGCAGTAATTTAGTGGGAGGGAGGGAAAAGTTGACTTTCATAAAGTCCAAAAGAGAGAGAGAGAGGAGAGGAGAGAGAGAGAGAGAGAGAGAGAGAGAGAGCAGAGAAGAGAGAGAGAGAGAGAGAGAGGAGAGAGAGAGAGAGAGAGAGAGAGAGAGAGAGAGAGAGAGTAGAGAAAATTCAAAGTCAATATAAGAAAATTGGTCAACAAATGTCAATGTGTCAAAGAAGTAACCGGGTGACCCCTTCACTTTGGCCAAAAGGATGTAATCGACCCGACAAACACAACTCTGTTCCCTCATAAGGCCACAAAAATTGTTTAGGGACTAAAAAGATAAACCCTAGAAAGTTCGTAGGGCATTTGTAATATATATTGGAGATTTAATAAAAAAATTATTGTAATTAAGCTGGATTTAAACCCATGGCTTTAGCAAGAAATATGGAAACCACAAGTAATTATTTTCAAATTGATTCATATATTTATTGACAATGACAAGATACCCTTATATATTTCGTGATAAGTGGTTGTAAAATTAAAATTAAATATACTTTTTATATTTTTTTTGTTTCTATCCATCTTTATACTCTTTATACTCATTAGAAGAAAACAAATATTAAAAAAAAATGTTAAAATGACTACTGTTTGCGAAGCAATTATACTTTAACGAAATTAATTATCAACTAGGGATGAGTTATAAAACCGGAAAACCGGACCGGAACCGGAATCGGACCGGAACCGGAACCGGTATAACCGGAAAATGCTTAAACGGTCCGGATATTGGATTTCAAAATTACTCTTATCCGGGTTCCGGGGTATTTCGGGTATGGGTCCAACGGGTCCGGTTAATCCGGGTTTTTGAACCGGTTTTGTTTAAAAAACCGGAACCGGGTTTAATGGACCGGGTCCGGGTTTAAAAAACCGGAACCGGGTATAATGTGGAACCGGGTTATTGTGGAACTTATTTTCCATTGAAAGTACGAACTAAACCAAAATTTATATTTGCTATGTAACAAATTGATTTATGTACATATAGTATATACAGTTTAAATTTAAGAAAAACAAAGTATTTTTAAAGGAGTTTAAAGGTCAAAATAAATAAATCAGACCACCACAATAATTATCAATAAATGCAGAATAAAACTCAAGTTTAACTAAAAAAATAAATTGGGGGCCTATACGTTTCGCATGCGAGTCTATTTTGCATGAGCACATGGTCTTACCAGTTGAGCGCAATGACATTTTCCATACGGTGGACTCATCCAAAAAAAACATGTTATATTACGAAAGCTGCCCAAAAAAAAACTGCGCCATTTTTTTTTTATTTTGTTTCTACCGTTTGCACTTTGCAGTAAAGAAAAAAAATATATAAATTGCATTCCGTATAAATTGCAGCCCCCAAAAAATATTATAAACAGTAGCTTGTTGCCAAAAAACAAAACTATTTTTTTTCTTTTCATAACATGTTATTTTTCCATTTTATATGAGAAGCTAATATGTAATTTTTTGCATTTATATTTTCGGGTTTCCGAGTCCATCCGGGTCTAATATACGAAACCGGTTCCAATTAGTAATTTTCGGTTCCAACCGGTTCCATACCCACTTTATCCGGCCCAATACCTGGAACCGAACCGGAACCGGTTCCTGTATACCGGTCCGGTTCTCGGGTCTTATAAT